TGAAGCCGGGATCCTTTCTTGCTGTATCTCCTTTTGCTTAAGATGTCAAAGTGGTAGCAGATGATGACCTGCTATGGTCAAGATTTTCTTTCTGAAGTACAAAATCATTTTATCCACCGAACCATCATTATGGAGGAGCCTCTGGTCCCACAACTTGTCATGCCCCAGGATAAGCAACCTCACAACTGTTGCTTGGTCTGAAGCCCCTAATATGGAGGTCCTTGGCCCTGGGTTCTGCCTCACAGGCCCCTGCACCTCTAACATCAGAGCCCTCTGCCTCTCCTAACGCAGAACCTATGCCAACCTGCCCATGTTCCTGCTACACTTGCTTGTTCCAGCTATCGTCCAAGTGCCTTCCCACTCCCATCTTTGTAGCACTGGTGCTACAGACGTAACCTCATGCTATGATCCTGATGTATTTGCTGACACTGCACGCTACAGACTATCGGTTGAACCACCAATGGAAAAGGAACAGAAAAAGTGTCAGCTAACTTCTAGGAATGTCACTGAAGGGACAGTAAGGAAAGGAAGAAAATTATCTCAAGGTTTAAACCTTGCAAGGAGTTTAAAGCTGCAAAGGAATAACTATAAAGGCCAGGGTGTATTTAAATTCCTAAATGGAAGTGACTTTGGTAGTTTTGTCATTATTAAACAAATAAAGGTTCCTGACGTTAGTGATGAGAGAATGATATATACAGCCTCTTCACCATAACAGTTCCTGGAGCCTCCCACACATCAGCCATTTCAGAGAGATCAGTGCTTGGATTATGGAATGCAAATCATGAAATACTATAATGTATTTTTAAATGAATTCACTTAATAAACACTGAGCAATACAGTCAAGTATGTTCTAACCTTGATTCATTATTAGTTGACATCTTTTAAATAAATGCCAAACCACAGTGTTTTCAATTAGCATTTTACAAATATACAATTGCTTTATTTAATCTAAATTGACTACAGATTTCAGAAATCTTAATTCAAAGCACTATTAAGATTTTCACTGCCAGACAGATGGAAGGAAGCTCTTCTCACAAAATACTTAGTGAGACCAGTAATCATTAAGAATATGACCAAAAGGAATTTGCAGAAGAAAAAAGATGGAAGATATGAGAAGAAAAATAATAATAAGGTGCCTGTAAAATGATATGTAGATTATCCCTGAGTATCTGACTATCTCATTTAATTTGAAAAATCCAAATTAATTTGCTTATTTTTTTAAAGATGTTTTAAGGAAATGAATGGAAAAGTCATGAAAACTGATTCTAAAAACTCAAGACAAGTGATTTTATTTAAAATGTTTTGCATTTGTGGTCCTTGAACACACTGATGGTCTGTTATAAATTGCACTGGCTACAGAAATCTTAGAACTTCATATGGCCTGCTATATGATATAAGCAATAGCCAAGCCGTTATGTATTAACATTATATATTTGTAATAATGGTAAAAAAGTTACCTTTTGTGATATAGTGAATTAACTAAATGTGTTTAAAAAATACTTGAGTTGTTTAAAACCTTCCCTTTACTTTGCTTTTACTTAAGGTATGTGGAATGGGCAATAACAATTTCAGCAACTTCAGGCCCTCCTGTAAGAAGTGAAGGTGAACTGAGCAAATAGAATAGCCCATCAAAGCTAAAGGAAACTGCAATTTCTAAACTCTAGTAAGTGCTTCCTCCCCACAAAATGGTAAAACTTACTATGAACACAGACTGAGTTTTTCAACTCAGAAGAGTCTTGATAGTCAAGATAGTCTTGAAACATTAATCAGACTCATGCTAAACCAGACACTGAGTGACAGATGTCATGTTTTTTCCTTTAATTCAATATTTTTTATCTCTTGTTGAGATAGTTCAAAGTTAGTTAACAGTTCTTGAAAAATAAACCAAATGTAGCTCTTCTCTTGGCCATTCTTCTGCATAAAAGATTGGACAAACACTTTCCAAGTTCATGTTGCAAATACGGCACATGTCAGACTTCAGTGTTCAAGATGAAAATCATGCCACCCAGAGAAGTTAGTTTCTTTCTTGCAGGAAACTCTGCATGAAAGAAACTCTGTTTTCTAGAGACAAGCAATCTCAAAATCACATGATTTGCTGTTACTAGAAAAAACATCTAGAATCGCTTAGTAAATTCAAGAGGCACATGCTTCTACATGCTTACATGTAGAAAAGAAAATTAGAATAGAATCATAGAATCATAGAATGCTTAAGGTTGGAAGGGACCTCTAGAGATCATCTAGTCCAACCCCCCTGCACACACAGGGTCACCTAGAGCACGTGGGACAGGACTGCATCCAAGCGGGTTTGAAGATCTCCAGAGAAGGAGACTCCACAACCTCTCTGGGCAGTCTGTTCCAGTGCTCTGTCACCCTCACTGTTAAGAAATTTTTCCTTAAGTTCTTGTGGAACTTTTGGTGTTTCAGTTTGTGGCCATTACCTCTAGTTCTGCCGGTAGACACCACTGAAAAGAGGCCAGCACCATCCTCTTCACTGCCTCCCTTGAGGTACTTATAGACACTGATCAGGTCCCCTCTCAGCCTTCTCTTCTCCAGGCTGAACAGGCCCAGATCTCTCAGCCTCTCCTCATAGGGCAGATGTTCCAGGCCCCTGATCATCCTTGTAGCCCTGCGCTGGCCTCTCTCCAGCAGCTCCACATCCCTCTTGTACTGTGGAGCCCAGAACGGGACACAATACTCCAGATGCAGCCTCACCATTAGCCTTGAAATTCAAAATTTTCACAGTTTTGGAGCTGTTACATCTGACTAATATATATCATGTTCTATTTGGCACTAATTATGTTTGATTTTTAAAATCATTCCAATGTCCAACAAAAACATGCTCCATAGCTTCTCTAACACAAATGAACAAATGTTTCAGTAACAAAATTTTAAACACTTTTTTGTTTGTAACAACATTAATAGGGCAGAAATCATTATAGTTTAGGTATGTCATGTGCTTTAACTCACCAAGTTACAAACCTAGCATATTTTTTTTAACATTTTTACTGAGAAAATACTACCTGAGCTGTAGAACCTGTAAATAGTTATGCATAAAAGTATCTAAGATGAAATAGGTCTACTCTAATTTTTAAGACTTCTCTACTTTAAAGAATATTCACCTTAACTCATCTTGAACCCACAAAACATCTGTGCGTTCATAATGCAATGCATGTACCATGCAGGTTGGGATTTATAAATACATCACTTGGAAATTACATCAAAATAAAATTATATAATATAAAAATAATGGTAGATGAACCAGAACTAGTCTGTAAGTGTCAGTGAATAATAAATCATTACTCTCAAAGGAGGAAACTGTCAAAGGCATAAAGGGTGAGTTAAACATCTAGCACTCAACATATGCCAGTATGCTTTGGACACAACTCCTATAATACTTTTTAAAACATATCCTATAGTTCAGGGAAAAAGGCCACTTTCTCTAAGTGATAAAATATAAAAGAGCTATATTTTATTCCAAATCTACCATTTGCAGATAACCTTTTTTTTTTTTTTTAAGAAAGTAAAGCATGACCTCTAATGCATACTACATTTCCTACATCACAATCAAAGCAGAGGCTAATACAGATGAATTGATCCATTTCCCAAAACTTTAGTAGTATTCAAAAACTGTTTTACATGGGCAAGTTCTTATAGACCAATTTTGAAAGGTTTAAATTTGACAAGCTGCTGAATTCATAACACTGTTGTGAAATATAAAGGCCAAGATCCCCCAGTACTTTACAAAAGATATGTATATAAACTGTATAGTAGTCTCATTTAATTTTTCATCAAAATCTAGTCACCTGGTATGTATTAGGCAGTGCTTGGTAATGTTACATAACAGTTGGGAACACAAAGTGAAGAATAGCATATCCACTGAAACCGCACAGGGAATTTAGAGAAACAGGCGGATGTCATTACATGAGCTGGCCCTTGGCCAGAGCACTGGAGTTAATGCTCTTATTCTAGTGAAAAGTGCCACAGGATGAGCTCATTTGGACCTCAAGATGATGTGTCACCTGAAGGATGGCACCCACCTGCTCACAGCACAGAGCATCGCGGTGATGCGCTGAAGCGCTGGGCAGGGAGAGTGCCATGCATTTAATGCACCCTGCATTATTTCGGGAAGCAAAACCCGATTATTTCTCACTTTAAGCTCTTAAGTTTGCCTGTCTAATTCTGGTTAGACTGTGAAACATGACAAATTCATATAGATGATTTAGAGACAGTAGCAATGATTCATGATCCATATGTGGATTATGTATCATCTGTATGCTCATATAAGCAGCATATATGAGAATACAGCAAAAGCCATACAAACAGCCAGAACTACCAAATGACGTAAAATAACATGTAGATATATTACATCATTCATCAGTATAAATAGTGGTGCTTTCAAGTACCAAAAAAACAAATTTGTTGCACATTAGCAGCCTGTACATTTCCAAATAAAATGTAGTATTAAAAGTGAAAGTTTTTTTTGTTGTTTTTAATATTACATCTGTTTTATTAAAAGAGCAACATATACATAGTAAAACAGGTCTGGTAAAACAGGTGTTTGGTCACATGAAATTTGTGTAAGAACAAAGGGGACAAGAAGCCATATCTGTTCTGCCCATCCATGTGTAAGTGCATATACTAGACTAGCAGCCACATGAGGCATTGTTAAATTAATGCTTAATACTTTTTAATTTCATAAAATTGAGATTTCTTTGTTAAAACTAGGAATGTCTGTCTAAATCCTCATTCTTTCCTAAATTATCCTCCTAACTAAAATAACAACAATAATACTAAACCAGGTCAGTACACTGACTGCTTAATTTGTTCAAGGTCGTGTATCTTGGTATCAGCTGAGATATGCTTTAGCAAAGAAGTTTTATGATCATCTTGAGACATCTGTGGAAATATCATTATGTTCCGCAATGTATCATCTCAAATATGGAGCATGAATTATGGCTTTTCTATAAAAGTGAACGTAAACTTTAAAAAAAAAGACTCACTTGAACATCTGTTCATATCTGGCGTTCGGAATCCATAGTACCCTGATGGGCAGGAATGTAAGCATTCACCATATTGCCTCATTCCTTCTCTTCGTAGGAAGAAGAATAACTTATGTTGGCATGTGATGCACCCATTATCCTTTGAACAAGATAAACAGCCTTTGCAAATTGGATTTGGTCCATAGCTAGCTGCAAAATAAGAAGATAAATCACATTTTAAGATCATTCTGAAAATTATTTTGGCTGGAAGTCCTCTTCCCTCTGAAGTCTTACTTATCTACTTTACAATCACGAGCAGTTTTGAAAGAAAGGTTCTGAAAATGTACTCATTCTAATGCATCTTTACTGGCCAGGGAATAAATAAAAATATTAATAAATAGTAAAATAAATCAAAAACTCTTTATTTTCATTAGTATGCAATGTCACTTAACAATAAAATGAAAAGGTGCCACTTTTTTCATTCAGGTACAGGCGACCGGAGACCAAGGTGAATAAAGCTCACCAACATAACGTGAACAAAACCCAGGGGCTGAATTCCAGCTTGCAGCTGAGCCCATGAGCCCAGCACAGCCGTGAAGCACGGACAGGACACCGGCAGCCGGGTATATCCGCCCGGAATGTCATGGTCATTGGATTCCAGAGACCACACTAGCAGTTCTGTGGAATGACAAATGAGAGCGCACTTGGATCTCTTTCCAGGGCACCAAGCTTGCTCTGCAGAGAAAGAGCAGGAGAAGCAATGACGGTGCCAAGGGCAGCATCTGTGGGCTGTGCCCACCTTCTGGGGTGCCCCTTGCCGTCATACTGCAACACGAAGAGGAGCTGCAGCACCCCGTGTTCAGGAGCTCTGGCCATCCTGCCTTTCTCCAGAGCTGCCCATCTCTCCCTGTCCCACACGCAGCCAGGGCTTCCTTGGGTTCTGAGTTAGCACAGCAATTAGCAGTGGGATGATGGCTTCCTTTTAAATATAACAGGTACCTTTTAAATATTACATTAGCCACAGGACTTCACTGAATTTTGCCAGTTCAAATCTGGATTACTGGAAACAAGGAGAAACCTTATTCAGCAAAGTGTCTTTGGGGTGTCCAAAACTTCTCAATAGCAGCAACCCTTAGGGTAGCTTGCCAAGAGGGCAAAGATTATGTTTAACTGTTACATTTTTAAACAATCAGAATTGTCCACACCTTACTTTGGGACTTTTATCCCATATGGATGCTTAATAGGCATCACTCAATGGCTGACTTCACCAGCAGAACTGGGAGAAGAAAAAAGAAAAGCCCATCACCCTCTGGAAGCAGTAGCTGATAAGCTTTACTCTCACCTACACACATGTGCACAGCACATTGCTCGTGGCTCCCGTCCGTGCACATGCCTCCTCCAGTCCTGCACGACAGCATCCAGCTCTTATCTTGCACAAAGCCATCCTGGTGGGTGGCAGGCAGGACGGGGAGCCAAGCAATCTGGCGTGAAACAGCTCAGCCAGTGGGACCTGTATGAGGGCTGGAGCCTCCTCACTGCTCACACGCTAGGGAGACTCTCTGCACGTGAAGAGCATCTGCTCCCTCTGCGGTATCCGTGCCACCCTCCAGCCCTTAGCCATTTGTAATAATACGCTCTCTCAGAGCAGCTGCCCTGAACCCCTGAACCAATGCTCATCTCCTGGTCTCCCCAAAACCTTGGATGCAGCTTTCCCTACAGTTCATCTCACAAATGCTCTCACTCACAGTCCACATCTTCAAAGACATACAAGAAGGGAAGCAAGCAGATGACGAGCTAGGCCTGAGCACATTCCTCATCTCACTGTCGGCAGGGGTTGCAGATCTGTAACCACATCAAATATCATGTGACCGTGTACTGCAAAACAATTGTTGCTTAACATATGGTGGGCAGTCTTGTAGACCTCTAAGTCCCTTTTTAGCCTCCTTGTATCTCACTCATACCTCCACCTTGTTCAAGATTTCCCAAAGAACCCTGTCCTTTAACTAAAGAATTAGGGGGAACAAAGTACAAGGCAAACTGCAAGATGTTTCAGCTTATTCACCACTTGTAAGTTCTTTGGATTTCAGATCAGCTGAAGTTAGGGTCCCATATGCAACATATTGTTTCTTCCCTAAATCAAGGGTGATTTTTTTCTCCTTTCTTCCCCTTGAGCAGCTGAGGAACATGATGCCAAATAACCCATCTCTCCAGATCACATCATTTCAGCCTTTGCTGTCTGCACTCTGTCACACAAGTCCTGTGCTCCCTTCCAGAGCGAAATAACTCCCTCCAAAGAACGACCCAGGTATGTTTGTGGGGACAGTCCACCCCAGGGAGTCCTCATGGCAAGAATAAGGCTGCACCGCTCAGCGCTTCTCACCTCTCCAACACTCTTCTAGCAGCCTTGAGCAGGATCTCTCAAAAGACTCACACTCGCACACAGCTGCCATGAAAACACTGCCCGAGCAGGCATTGCACAACCCTTATTTTATTTCAGGGACTTCAGAGAGAAGAATATTACTATTATGACCTAGAGCAACTCTCTAAGGCCTAGAAGAAACGTAAGGCCACGCAGCGTGGATGTGGCCTCTCTGACGGAAACGGTGCTGCTTCAAGTAGTGTGGCAGGGTATCCCTCTTCTCTGGAACAGACACATTAGCAGTGTCCATGTAGGTCTCGTGTCCTCTCTCCTCACTGACTCACATTAAAATTCAGACTTCTCAGCTACAGATCATGCTTCTCAGTTCAATTCTACTGTGCAACTTTTTTTTTTTTTTCAACACTGTCCACGTTACTCTCCTCTCTCTCTAATTTCTGGTCAGATGTCTGTTAAAAAAAACTTATTTTGGAAGACAGATTTTGGAAGACAGTTATGTCCATTTCTCTGGGCTTCAGCTATAACACTATCCTAGCATGCTTTCTTATGAAATGGAGCTGGCAACAAAAAACGATCTTCCATTATCCTCTGCTGTCCATGGTTTAGGAGATAGAGGCCACAAAGCTCATGGTCAGCACAAAATATATCCAAGAGTTCAAAATATGTTGTATATATTTATTCCCAAAGTTAACACATGATCACATCTAGATTCTTAACTTCTGGGTGTCCCCAACAAATCACTGTTGGGATAATTTCTGTGCCTGGATTTTTTTCTCTCATAGGAATTCTAGGAGATCCAGTTCCTTAACGCTAATAAACTACTCTCAAACCCTCAGATGCAAGGTGTTACAGATGGGATTTATTGCTTTAGTAGTTTATTGCTACTTCAATAATCAATTATTAAACTGTGGCCCATCTACTTTGCATAACATATCAAGGTCAAAATGTTCACATATTTGATGGTCACAGTAATGACTTTCTTTCTTGCTCTCCTAGTTACCAGGTACCAGTAAACTTAATTCTATTGCATCCTTTCTGCCACTTCAACTTATTAAAAAACAGGAAAAAAACACAATATGCTCCATCCCTAAATTATTTGGACACAGAACACATTCTTCATTGAATCAAAATATTGTAGCAGTGTTTTCAGTGACACATTGGCTTGAAGATAACAAATTAACTTTCTTTCTTAGGCCCTATGTAACACGGGTTATAAATCAAATCCTCTCATATCTGCCCCCATCTTATCTTCCTCCACGCTAGTCACACAACAAGCAGAAAATATCCTTAGCACACACAGCTGTTCAATTCTCATCTATTTGCTCTTTGAATAGGAAGTGAAAAGCATCTCTACATTCAGCAGAAAAATCTAAAATCTTTCTAGAGTAATCTAAACTCTTCCTTTTGGATTCGTTCCTAACCTCTTTTTCTCTTCTGTATTAGCCTGCAGGCGAAAACAACATGTTTCCAAGCTGTCAGTCACTTGCGGGGTTACCACTTGCATCATGCACCGTCACACACACATCCATCACACACGATCCCAGCCATCTCACACCCATTTCCACCCTGCCTGTCATGCCCGGAACACCCTCCTCGACTGTGTGTGCCGGCGGCCAGGTTTTCTCCATCCGACTCCCTCAGGAAAACTCGCTCCTTGCACGAGGGCCGCAAATGCTAACGAGCGTCAGAGCGCCGCTGTCGTCACGTCGTAAAGCTCGAAACGCACACGTGCTCCAAGTTAGCACCATCCCGCGGGTCCCCAAGGGCACGGCTGCCCTGGCTGCTGCTGGGGCTGTGACCTCCTGGCAGCAGCAGCGATGCTCTGTACAACCGCACAAGCATGGGCTGGGTGTGAACAACTCCTGCACATGCACACACCTCCATATAGATTTATTTTCCACTTATTTCTATTTTCTACAGATGTATTTTCTATTCTGTGTGTTTTCTGCCTCTACAACCATATCCTGGAGCATCTCTGCGTATAAAGAAAAAGCTTTTAGACTTGATTCCCCCTGTAGCTTTTTATTTTAAATCTGGGATTAAGTATGGCAAGTTAAAAAAAGGTTACTTGAGAACACAGACTAGTACCCAAACATTGAATGAAACACTCCTGAACTCTAAGGGTGTTCAAGGTTTCATGGTTTGGATCCATATCAAGTAAACTCAGATGTCAGTTAATTACTTTAACTCTTGTCTGGATCGAATGTATTGAAAATGCTTCAGTAATATCGCTTAAAGTGAATTGTTATGACTATTTGAAATCACAAGAGAATCAACAGTACAAAATGAGTCTAGTCTGTTCACCACAATAATACAAGCTGTTCAGTGAGCAAAAGAACTAACAGCATCTGATTTCCTATGGATTTTAATGTCTTACAGCCCACTTCAGAAAAACCACTGTAAATCTGTCTTTCTTGTATACCCACTTGCGAGCTGTCACAAATCTCTTCAGAAGCTGGGGTAGTATTGCAGTTCACTACAAGAACTTGGTATTTTTACATTTCTGTAAAGCTGCACTGAAATTGAAAAATGGATTCAAAAACTGTTGCAGGAAGAGAAAAGTCTGGCAGAGAAAACAAGTGACAGAAAATATTGTTACCTAAAAATGATTTCCTTAGAAGGCCAGACTGAAATACTCGTTACCACGACCCAATCAGAGTTAGTATCCTCCAGTCTTTATTTCTGTCTTTTGAACTCTCTGAAGTCAGAAACTGGGCTTATTGGTACAAGCACCAGCTTAAAGGATGTCTTGCCCTGACTGGGATTGCAGATGCAGAAATGATGGTGATTCATTGGATTTTAGTTTAAACTTAGCAGAAATGTCTCTGAGACAGTCACTTATCAATTCAAACATGAGGTGCACAGCAGAAACTGAAAGGACTAAAAGGCTAGTAGTTGTACTTATTGCAGAGGAGAGTACACTATATAATACCAAATTTAATTGATATTGCCAATGTAATGACATCTAATACCTATTTCTCCATTGCATTGAACTAAAATAGTCACACGTAGCACATATCCTTACTGTAAAAAGAATAGAAGAAAGAATACAACAGCCACACATACACACCAATATTATATATGATACCAACATACTTTCACTGAAAAATTGCAAAGTCATAATACTTAAAAACCATCTGATGAATTATGATTAGGAGCGGGCCAAGAAAAATGCATACTTCTTGCTACAACTGTGCAAAAACAAATGTAAGTTTTGGACAGAAAACTTCAGTAAAAAATGAAAATATGGAAACGTTTTGACTAGCTTGATTCTAGTCATTGTCTTGAATTAATAGAATTAAGAAATTCAAGGTCAAGGGCGACTTTTGTGATTAATTAGTCCAATGCTCTATACAAAGAAGCCACAAAACTCATGCTTTACTAAGACATATCATTTACAAACTATTCAATCTTGATTTTAAAATTGTCAGTGGTAAGGAAACCACCACAACCTTTGTTAAGCTATCACAGGGGCTAATCACTCTCACTTTTGAAAATCTGCAAGGGAATTTTGAACTTCAAATAGCAAACACTGGACCTTTTCATAACTTTCTCTGCCAGATTGTTAACAGTGTTTCAATGTTTTTTCCCCAATACAGACACTGTGTTCAGGTCAACCCTTAGCCTTTTCATGGGTAAGATAAACAGAGCAAGATTCCAGAACGTCTCACCGCAAGATGAAGGAGCCAATCCTTTGATCAAACCCTTACCATTTTATCAACAGGCTTAGGGACACCAAAAAAGAGCTCAGCAATGGAAAAGTGATGGTACAAGCGCCAAATCCAGAAGCGATATAACCTCTCTAATATTCCTGGATATTAAATCTCTTGAAATACTCAAGTGTTATACGAGTTCTTCTGACCACAGAGACACGGCTTCCCAATATCATACAGCCTTGTTTAAGAAGCCGTCCATTTTGTTCTTCAGAACGACTTGGATGCAGGAGATCACCCAGCGTTATTTTTCTCGAGACCCTGATCCTTAAACGCACAAGATCACTTTTTTTTTTTTCCCCAAGTTTTCAACAACTCAGAAAATCGCATGTTCAAGAGTTTGCCACTCTACCTTGTTAGGTAGATTAACTATGGGATAGCATTTCACTTCGGAGAAGTTGACAGGAAACTCATTGGATTTATACTCTTAAATGAACAATTTTGGCCTGCTTATTATTATGAAACCATTTCTTTACTTCCTTTGGAGAGAGGTCTTATATTTTCAATAGCATAACGTATACTTAAGGTACTGTCAGTTGTCACCTCTTTTTGTTCTTTTGTTATTAAGGTAATGTCACTCTGACTCTTCCACTTTTGGCCCGCAAGATTTGTGTTCTTTGCAAATATATTCCATAGAAAGTGGAATCAAATTCCACTAAGTCAAAATATTATACTTTTACTACATGGCTACCCAGCTGATTACTTGCAGAATTTTCTCTACTGTGTTTTCTGCACAAATGTGTTAGGAAGAATCCTTGTTAGATATGTTCACTGATCAGTTAGATAGCACTTTTCAGCTTCCACACAAGTTTCAAGAAGTTCCCTATGTTCTGGGAAATAATCTACAATATTTAGTGCCTTCAGGCATCATCAGTGCTGGATACTTAGTACCAAATTCAGAAACATACTTGTCAATAGAGTGACATTTTATATGTTTTTTTTTTCTTTCCTTTCTGGAAGTTTTGGATGATTAGGTACCTTGAGGACATTCCTGACCTTCTTTCAGGTTGGGCTAAACTGCCATCTACAGTATCTCAGCCATCTCTCTTAATTTAACCATCTGGATCTTTTAAAGACATCTATCTCAGTTTACCTCCCAAGTGACTGCTATCAACTGGAAATTTTACACTCTCCTTTCCGCTATTTGTGCCCTACTGATCCTCACTTGCCTTCAACCCCACTGAATGCTGCTTCATGCTGCTGATACTGTTGTGAATTCTCCACCACAATTTTTTTCCTGGAGTACAGTTCTTCTCCCCTGAAAATGGAGCAGCAGAGCTTCCTCAGTGTGGCTCCTCAGAACTCTTCAAATTCCCCAGAGTTTTCCAATGACCATATTTGTCCTGCCAGTTCAGAAATCCAGCACAGCCAACAATTTTCATTACATGCACAGAAAGTCCTCCTGGCTACAGGACTGGAAAAAATATGGAACATCTGTTGCAGGTCACAGCCACCACTTCATCACTGGCCACCCTAAAATCAGGTATAGCAATGGACAGAGAAAGGAAAGTCTGCTACCCCCTGACTAAATTCCTTAGGAAGTGTTTCTTTTTATTGCTATTTGCTTGCTATTCACAAGTCCACCGGTTTCACTTTTACTCTAGGTCTCCCCGCACTCATTAACAGGCAGCAAATAAATGTTCATACTTGAAAGACTGAGAATAATAAAAGACCCAAACATCACAGTCACATGATGCTTTCAAAGATAATAACAAAATAAAATAAAATAAAATAAAATAAAATAAAATAAAATAAATCATATTCAAAAAAACAAAATTTACCAACCAATGAACCGGACACAAATACATTGCACATTCATGTACCTCTAAGATTGGACCACCCAAAAACTTATGCTTGGTGTTCAGAAGTCACACATAATTCACATTAATGTCCATGCTGCCAATACCAGTGCTACTCCAGACCAGCCATTTCCTTTAATTTATCCAAGTTGTTCACTTATAAAGTGTCTGCTTCAGTTGTCATCATGAGAGGGCTGAGAACAGTCCCTGTAGGATGACCTCTGCTTCCTCTTCTGGGTTGCCAGAAAGATGGTTATTTAGGTGCCCTGTAGTCTGGCATTATGGAAACATGGCCAATGTGTGTCCACCTCTGTACTGTTTGCACAGCTGTGGGCAGGTCTGCCTGCTCCAAATCTCAAAATTCTCTATCGTAGCAGATTGCTCCAGTCTCTGCAGACATATTCACAACACAACCTGTTTAACTTCTGGAAGGCAAATTTAGGATACTTCAGAAACTCGAGGTATTTTGACTAAATGCTGGAGGCTTCAGGTATAGCATCTGGAGGATACGTTACCTTCTGATTTCTGCTGTTTATATTTTGCTTTAATGACACTCTTAGTTCTCTACAGTTCTATAGAGTAAATTGTAAAAATCCCCTAAAGCAAATGCTTACAAATAAGAAAATAATTACATTCAGCACTCTCAGTTATTTCTCAGACCCCAGGCATTAAGACCTGCAACCAAAGCTCCACAAGTCACTACCTCTAGCAACAGTGCAGTTTAATCACGTCTAATGCAAACTGCATAAATCAGCATAGGGCCCCAGAATCCAGGTCTGCTCTGCACCAGCGTTTGCGCAGGGTGCCAATGGGCAGGGATGTCCTCACCCCGCTGCAGGCTCCGTCACAGGCAGCGTCAGCCCAGGGATGCCTGGAGCTCCCTCTCCACACGGCCATCCTCCCTCCTTCAACATCATGTGGAAAGAGCATGTGCAGTCTTATCTATAGGATGCCTCTTATTTCATAGGTGAGGGACTTAAACTGTAGCCTAAGGCTAAGGCCGATGTTGTGCACTTTAGCACTGAACTCACTTCAGGACACTCCAGCCAAGCTCCTTGGATAAGTTGTATCTTATCTGCTTTTTGGGATAGGCTGCTCAGCATAGGCAGGCTGTGTTAAAGCCTCAGAGAAAAGAATCACTTAAGAACCAGTGAAATTTCAAAACCACATCCATGTGTCCTTCCAACAGGCTTTTAAAATCACATCTTCAGCTAAGGCATCCAACTTTCCCCACTCTCTCCTGACAGTGTTTCTTCTGGGCGTCCCATGTAGAAGAAGAGTGGTAGGAAAGGTGATAACACGACAACCCTACAGCCCCCAGTTTATTTAGATCAAGGAGTCTATTTCCCTCCCTTTGAAAAATAAATCACATTTGGAAGCACAATTACATGCTCAAACACAAGCTGCTAGTTCCATTTCTAATAGGAAAGAAATAGCCAGAGACTGACATATCTTGGACTAACTCTTTATTTACATTAACTGGGCAGCTACACAGATAACCAAAACCAAAAACAACCCCATGGTTACTTTCCCCACAGCCCCACACCTGTGGGGAGGTCTGGTCTGGGGGACTCCAGAAGACCACACTTCCACCTCTCAGGTGATTAAACTTCACGTGGTCACCAGACCTCCCAGCTTCAGATTCCCAGGCTCTTTCCCATTCCAAAATGCACCGTCTCTCAGCATACGCCAAGCTGCCATTAACTGTACTTACCTGCTCCCCCTGTACATATCCTGTGTGCCACTGTTAGCATGTTCAACAGGAAAATTCATCCAGCATGTTGCTGCTGCATATCAACATCTGGGTCACAAATCCTATTGGAACAAAGTCCCAAGCATTTAAACAAATTCATTTTTGTCCAAGTCTTTTAGTATCTAGAATATTTCAGCTTTCTGCTGTGAATAAGATTCATCTATAGCACGCAGGTGAATAAACAGAGATGTAATTTTTTCCCCTTTGATGGTGTGTTTACTTTGCCTGAATTGTAACTTATAACTTTTGCAAGCACTGAAACCTGCAGGGATCCAAAGCAGAGGTATTCCAACAAAAACACATTTCCAAGCCCAGATCCACCCAAACTGCTTAAGACAAAACACTGTTGGACACATTAAAGCTAGAGGTGAAGATCCAGAACACTCTGCTTAAGAAACAAAGTACAGCAACATATGAGCAGACTTCAGTTGTGATGTAGGATACTCCAGTTACCCATTTCATGCATTTACTGAATGATTCTCAAATCATTACAAAAGCAAAGGAGGAGTTAGAGAAAGGGCTCAAGCCTTTTGTTTCATGTCTTGAAAAACTAAATTCAATCTACTTTGCAAGTGATAGTTGCTATCACATTTTTATTGTACAACAGGAGCTAGCATGTAAAGAAAACAACAAACACAAATAAATACTTGAATGTGGATTGCAAATATGTAATAGTGAAGACATGTGCTTTATTTCTGCAGTTTATACAGCAGTGAACACAGTGGTTGGTGTTTCAAAAATACCAAACTCCTGAAATGTTGACCAGGATGTTAATGTAGCTTTTCACCTTTTTTTTTTTTTTTTTTAAAGGTGTCATTTTGGAACACAACCTGGTTTCAGGTTAGGCATTAGACTGAGAAGGAAGCTTGGACCATGCAAAGGTAAACAGCTCCACACAGTATTGCAGGGCACTAGGTTGATCTGCCCAGCTAGATATGCCGAGTCTGCAGAGGCAAGGGTCTGGTGCTGTGTAGCTTAGGGTTGCATTGCCTCCGTCACGACTGCCGATCAAAACCAGTCGGTGGTTATTTTTGTTGTAGGAAACGCAAAAACAAGCTCCCGGGTAGGGTGTTTATGCTGAATCCGTTCCAACTCCATACTGAAGCACTAGAAAGACAAAGAGAAGATATCTTTTCTCCCCTTTCCCATTTCTGCAGAAAGCAAATTCGAAGCTACATGGGAGCTGTGTTTATTCCAAAAGACATCCAGTTTCAGGAAGTTCAGGACTTCCAGCTGCCTGGGTAACCTGCCTGACAAGGCAGAGGAAGACACAGCCATTTCAAGACCCAACTAGATAAGGTAAAAAATAACCTGGTTTATCTCACAGTTGATCCTGTTTGAGAAGGAGTTTGGAGTAGGGACCAAGGGCCCTTTCATTCTGAATTATCACTCTATGTATGATCCTGCGACCTGCACCCGAGGTACCATATCCTATTTCTTGCTTGAGAGCAAGAAGCTTCAGCTACACAAAGTGCTGTATAGTACAAATGGAGGAGGAATTGAGGAAAAGGTAGCAAAGCATAAGGGTATATGGACTATTTTCTGCATTTCCAGATGTGTTCAATATCACGAGAGATCCCAGAGAAGAAAATATTAAGGTGTGAAATGGAAACAAGAGATCAGAAATGTGTTGTAATTTAAAATAGGAGAGCTTAAGAGATATCCTTAAAGCTGGAAGCATTATAAACCTTCCAGGAACAGTGAGAAGTCTAAAGATAAAAATTTGCTAAAGCTAAAGAAGCAGGAGTAATGTAGTTCAGCAATAAAAATGGCTGAATTTTAGAAATGGATAAGACAACATGAGTCATTGGTCTAGGAAGTCCCCCTTAGAGACTCCTTTAAGTTCAAATGAGCAGAGAGAATGAAGGGCAGCCAGGCAGCTTCCTACCCTCTAGGATCTCCCCACATGGACAAGCTATACTGTCCTTTGACCCCCTGAGAGGTGTTTCATTGTGCTCCTACAAGAAGAATCTGGGGACAGATACCTGCTTTGTATTACCAAGACCGAGGAGAAGGGGCTCTGCAGTTGAAATGCTCCACACAGCTGGACTGGCTGCCAAGCGGTGACAGGGAATGTTCCACATCAGTCGATTGCTGCTTTCAGCGTCACGAACAGGGATGGATACACAAGTATCACAGCTCAAAGGACTCTGAAGCTCTCATTCACAGAAGTATTAAGCTAGTTCTGGTGGACTCATTCACAGAAGAAATGTTAGTTCTGGTGGACCTCAAGCTCTCCAAAAACACCAGGACCAGTCATGAAAAAAGCAAAATGGCATCCTAAGGATGCTGGCATTGGAGATGTTACTATATATCACACAAGCATTAGCAAAACTTTATACCTAGAGTTTCTTCAAATGAAAATAAATCTAGCATAAGGAGCACTATCCTAATTGTCCTTGTATTGAACATTCAAAATTAGATTAACTTTTAAGACACAAAGCAGGTAATTACTGACCAAAAATCAGAAGCTGACAAAGTATCTGTGATTCTTGGTCTGGCTCTATTTCCACTGTGCAAACAATACTTGGCATAGGCCAGAGCTCCAATTATTTGTAACTCTGAAAGCATGAGTTCATGAATCCTAAACCACTTATTACCGTAATGCTGGGAGGAGTTAAAATTAAGATTTTTTAGAAAGATA